TATATATATATATATATATATATATATATATATATATATATATATATATATGTATGAATTAAGTATACTTTTAACTTGATCCAATCATTTTTCATTAAAAATTATAAGAGTAACAAATTTCTCCTTATAAGTTAAAATATAATTGAGTCTACCATAATCTACCATAATTGATAAAACACACACATTCAATCATAATAAATTATAATTTTATTTCATTTTTTAAAATCATATGTAACAACATTTTTGCATTTTATTTAACATTGTTTATAAGAACTTTATTACAATGTTATATTTACTAGTACAAGTTAAACATCTGATTCCTAGAGTATGCACGTTTATTACCAAAAATTTAGATATTGTTTAACCGCAAAAATACTTTCCAATATCTTCCATTATTCCTGCACAATTCAATTAAAACTACATATAAACCAAACTGTATAAATATTTTTAAAGATTTTTACAAGTAATTTGGTATAATATTCTTTTATAATGTGTTTTCATTCGTAAAATAAAAAAGACAATTATTTTTCTGAATAATGACTGAAAAAAAATTGTATCTTAATAAAACTATATGAAACGATTTATCGTATATAACACAATTACACAAATATAAAAATACGTAGATTGCATTGTTTAATTAAAGAATCACTATAAGATATCGATACATTTACTCTTTAAGATAACCTTTAAGATAACATAACTTGCATTATTTCATTAGATATTTATTTGATATTTTTATGTAAGTCTGTCACTGTTACAGTGATAGATTTGGCTTTTGTACAAGTGTATTGTATAGCAGATACAAAAAACTTAGACTTTCCCATGATGTGCCTTATCCAATGATTCTCCCGAAGAATGTAAGGAACCTGAAATTAATATAAAATTGAGTAAAATACTTTTTCCGATAATTTCTTAGTTATTTTGATATATGCATGAGAAAAAATATATCTGCGATTTAAAATGTTGAAATAAATCAAATTGCAGAATTAAATTTTACTGAAATAAAAAATTGTAAAAAGATTGTGAGAGTGAAATATGAGGAATTTATGCAGATAGTTCATTTTTACTTAAAATTCGTGAAAAAACAGTCGGTTGAAATAATTAATAAAAAAGATAAAGAAATGTCAAAGATTGTATGAAAATTATAAAAAAGACATTATACGTGCGACACTGATATAAATTAAAATCGCTAATTATAAGCTCGTTGACCTGGCACGGCATCTATTTGGAGTTACCCCCTTCCATAGTACTCCAAAACTGTCTCACTTTAGAGAAACGTTTGCGTCCTTGCATGCACAAAAAACAGGACAGATAATAGTAATAACAAAAATGTAGAAAAAAGTTCACGAAAACGGTAGAACGGTAGGAGTAGGCAGACAAGATCCAACCAATGTACTACTATAAATGTTGGTGATACACAAATGCGTGCAATCTCGCAGTGTCAACATTTCCACAAACCTTTGTGATTGCGCGTACGTTGCTCTCGCTGATGCGGATGAAAACCAGAACTGCGTAGAAGTGGTAATGATTCTTCTGCCCATGTATGTATCGTTCCGATGGGTGGAGGTACTATCGAGCCGGGTAGAGGAAAAGGCGGGATGTGATCGCCACCAAACGGCGGCGGTGGTGGCGATCTATGACGATTAAACGGTGGAAGTAAATGCGGGGACATGGGGGGTGGCGGAGAACTCGCGTTCTCGTACCTACTCCCAGAAGCGGGGGGATGTAATGGTGGCGGGGGCGATGATAACCGGCCGCCTAAAGGTGGAGGACGTTGACTAAGACTGTCGTACTGAGTACGCACAAAGCCAGAAGCGAGGGGTAATACAGGCGGTAGATGCGTCGGGAAACAATGCAGATAGGAAGGCGGGGGCGGCGGTGGAACACCTGAACTAAACATTACAGGAGAACTGGATGATTCTGCTCCTATGAACAACGGTGGCGAGGTTGCAGTTTCCCCGTTCGCTTCCAAGCCTGTTTGGAAATCAGTTTTCAGAAAAACTATAGAATCTGAAGAAACTCGTACGGTTCCGACGAATTAGTATCTCGCGTAACATATGTATATCCACTGTCCATGGATGAACTTGAACAATTTCTGAAGCGCTAATTATCATAGTATATACTAAATTTCAACTATTGCTAAAAATATGTGTAACTACATTGTCTCACTCTATGAATTACAACATTACTACGTATTACAAGTTTCTACGAGACTCTATGATAAATTTTATTATTTGCTTATACGAAGTTATGTGTACACAAATATACGCACATCTCTCTGTATAAAAAGAGTAAAAGATTATTAATGTATCGATCTCAAATATTCGTTATCGAACTATTCACTAGACACATTGATAGTGAAAATACTTACGATGTAACTTTGTCTCAGAATCGCTGTCGTTTAAGTTCTTCTCTGCAAGTGTGAGTCGGTTACGTAACTGACTAGCTTCGGCTCTCATTTCTTCCATACGACGTTCATTTTGACGAGCAATAACCTTATAAAATAAAAAGAAACCTTCCATGAATCGTTTTAACAATAATTTACGAATAAAATATGGTCAAATTATTTCTAATACGTACCCATTGTTCATGTGATCTTGTTTCCAAAGTAGATATTTGATTTTTGTATTCTCTTTCCTGTTCTACTATTTCTCGTTTTAACATTTCTATTTGTTGCCTAAAAAATAGTCATAATAAATAAATTATATTTTTACGATTATAATAAATAATAAATAAATTATATTTTCATTTTAATCACGAATCATAAAGAAACGAAAATATGCCAAGAATATTTAACTAGCTTTAAATTCACGTTAAGTAATACAAATCTGTATAAATTAAATTTTAACTTAAACATCAGTCAAATTGTTAAAATCGTATCCTTACTTATAATTCTGTATTTCATTTTGCATCATGTGTATCCTTTCTACAGTCGATACAACCTCACCTTGTTTTTGCAACCAAATTGCTTCTTCCCTGCAATTATTATAACATTAATATAAGTACCAAAGTGTGACAGAAGTAGTTATTAAGTTATTAAGTATTTGTCGCTTATTAAGTTTATTTGTCGCTTACTTCTGACGTTCAGCTTCTTTCTCCTTGAAAAATTTCGACAACACCTCCAACCGTGTCTCTGCATCTTTTTTCTCTTTTTCGGCCAGTTTACATTGTTCACTTAATGCGGCTATCTCTTCCTTAACCAGTTTCATGTGTTCTACAATGTAAAAATGTTGCATAATTTAATTAGAAAAGATAATATGTGTATATGTATGTGTAAGAATAAAATAATAAAAAAGAAAAGATAATATATATAAAAAATATAGACAACTTTAAGATATCATTTCAAAGATTTTTCAAAGATTTTTCAAAGATTTTTACCTTCTAATAATTGATGGGCACCTTCGATATCACTTAATCGCGTCTTTAATTCGTCTCTTTCTTCGCGCAGTTGTACCGCTTCTATTTTAACACGAGATACATCGTACAACTTTTCCAAGTCTAAGTTGTTTGAATTGACCTGATTGATAACTTCTACAAGCTCTTTCACTTCCATCTCTTTGCCTCTCAATTCTTTATATAACGATGACTTCTCAGAAGACAACTAAAAGAAAAAATATATCTTGATAATCACATTATATCGATAAATTATTATTAATTATTAAACATATTTTATCATAAATAAATATATATTATAGACATAAGACGCCTGTAGTGTGATTCTGTAACTCGTTATTGCAGTTAACGACAATTTCGTTATCATTGCGCAGCTTTTCTACAATACGAAAAAGCTGCGCAACGATAACGAAATTGTCGTTAACTGCAATAACGAGTTACAGAATTGCACTACTGTGCTGGGATTCTATAACTCGTTATTGCAGTTAACGACAGTTTTGTTATCGTTGCGCTTTTGTATACTGTAGAAAAGCTGTGCAACGATAACGAAACTGCCGTTAGCTCCAATAACGAAACTGTCGTTAACTCCAATAACGAGTTACAGAATCTCAGCACTGGGCCCTTGAAATAGTTGCATATACGTAAGTTTTACTGTGCAGATTTAATCATACCATAAAATAGCTGCGCAGTAAAACTTACGTATACGCAACTATTTCAAGAATAAGGGCCCTATTCTTTGCTACACTACTGGGTACCATTTCTGGACTTCTTCGGAATCAATTCGGATCGGAATACTTCCGTTTCCCTTAAAAAAGACAATAGAAATCTAGGAAATAACTGAAGATTTCCTATCGGAATTGATTCCGAAGAGTCTATTGGGCTGTTCTTTTCAGCTGCATTACTGAATTGGTGCAATAAGTTAGAGTGAGAAAATATATTTGTCTCACTTTAACTTATTGCACCAGTTCAGCAGTGCAGCTGAAAAGAATAGACTACAGAAGTCCCGATCTGGTGTAGTAGGTGTAGTAAGTTTTAAGCCGTAAGAAATTAACCCATCATGATTGATTATTTTTCTATAATTCGACTGTGATTGGTCAATTTCTTAAAGCTTAAAGCTTATTGCACCTATTGTAGATCGGAACCTTAGAGCATATATATATGGAAGGGGAATTGCGTATGCCTTCTGTAGACCAAAAATGTGCCCAAAATATGTGCAAGAGAGAAAGGTATACATTCCTATTCATCCTTTGTGCGCATGCGCCACATGCGTCAGTTGTTGCTAGGCTAAAAAATTGATTTCAATATTTTTTTACTCGAATTCTATTAACTTTACCGAAAAATAGCAAGAGATAAAAATTGTTTATTTTCTTCTCATAAAGTTCGGAGAATTTTTTCAGAATTTTGTATTAACTTTTTAGTACTGCATTTTCTTGCGTTTTCTTGAAATACTAGAAAGTTAATATAAAATTCTGAAAAAATTATCAGAGCTCTATGAGAAGAAAATAAATAACTTTTATCTCCTGTCAACTTTATAACCTAACCTGTCAACTTCAACGCATACGCACAGAGGACGAACAGGAAGATCTTAAAGGATAGCAACCTTTGACTTTGAGAGACTGACAGCTGTACCATTTGGTACAGTAACATTGTTTCTCTCTGTAGTCACCGTGCGCTCGGGATCGCGCCAGAGATGTCGCTTCCGAACATCTCTGAGCGTTATCTAGGGAGAGGAGAGTGTCGCGAGCGTGGAGCGTCAGGCAGCTCAGTGGTTTAGAGCAGTCGCCCGGCAAACGAAAGACCCGGATTCGAGTCCCGGCCTAGCAAAACCGCGCTCTAGATATTTTTTTCTCTGGAACGAAAAAGATACGCAAATCTCGAACGCATGGCGTCCCGCCGCCACCTAGTACACCCTCCTCCTTCTATGGTGGATTCCCCATGGCGTATTGCGTCCAAGCACCCGGGGGCTGCCAAAAAATTGGTGTCGACCCCGAGGCTTGTTTGTATTATTTGCACCGGATGAGGGGGGGGGGGGGGGACGG